TTCTGGTATGTGAAAAGAGTTGTTGATTCCGGTCTGTGGTTCCAACGGATTTGATTTCCGAGTGTAGTAGCCAGTTAGTGTTCCTTCTTGTTGTATTAATTTGTTTTAGTTAGCATAGACAGAAATTGAGTTTAAGGATTTTTAGACATTGATAATTGTATTTGATTTTCGGAAGTTTGTATCAGACTGTGGGCATTGTATCAAGCTAAATTATTTTGTTCTGTTATAGTTCTGAGTATTTGAGGCTTGCAGGGTTGGGTCTATTCTAACCCTAGCGTCGGTCACAGATCCGACTTTCCGGGTCGTGATAGTTCACTGACTGTTCACAAATCACATAATACATATGCCGGAAGTAAACATATGACAAAATACAATTTGCAAAATCACATAATCTTCATGTTAGAAAACATAGTCAAAAAGCACATGCATAAAAGGGGTATCATTACTTACACTACTAAAACCGAGCTAAAAGAAAGCCTTAAGTCACCTTAACCCGACTCAACAATTCGGGTGTGCCTCCACTAGCGTATCTGTAACCACAATACACAAAATAACAACTGGCACCAAAACCAGTATAAGAAAAGGGCTTGGCAGCCTAAAATTGGGCTCGAATCTCACTCTAGAACCCTAGCACCATCCCGAGGCTCACTACCCAACACCCCAAACTCATACGACTCAAGTACCCACATCCAAATCCTTTAATAACCTTAAACTGTACTGAACCAGTCTCCAAAACTCCCAAACTAGCCTAAAATTACCTTAAATTGAACTAAATTGGTAATAAAAACATCAAAATTGGATTGAACAGGCATCAAAAACTTAGGAACTGAACTGAACAAGCTAAGAACAACCTAAAATAGGGCTAAACAGGCCACAAAAGCCTCTAAACCCACCTAGAAACCCTAGAATAGGGCCGGTTCAACCACAAACCTTCAATTTTTGGCCAAATCAGAGTTTCTTGAACCCTCGTACCAATTTAGTTAAAAAGAACTCATCCTCCTAAACTGGGAACCGGTTCAACTTCTCAAATCCAAGTTAAAATGACCACTGAACCATGCGGTCAAGCCTTGAACCATTACTGGACCGGTTTAGTTAATAGAAACCCTAATTTCCCTTAGACAGCCTATCCCTGCTTTTGTTATGTTATTCCAATCTAATCCTATCCCTGTTCTACCTTATCCCCTGGGATAACCTATCCCAATTCTAATTGACTAAGTTAATTCAATGAGTCAACCCATCATTTTTCTCAATTAGGCCGAGTCAACTCACCGAGTTGACTTGCCTAGACCCAACCCAACCACTTGGCTTGGACTGACCCAAACCGTGGCCCAAGCCCACGCGACTTGTTCTAGCCTAGGCCCACTCGGAGCTGGCCCACTTAGCTAACCCTACCTAGGCCCAACCAGCCAAGGCCTAACAACCCAGCTCGAAACCCGACCTAGTCCACCTAGGTCGGGCCATCTCACTGAGGCTTGGCCAGTGCCCAGCCGACTGGGGCTAGGCCCACTTGCTTGGCCCACCCAGGCTAAGTTGGCTTTGTGAACGGAGCTGACTAGCCCTAATCGACTCGAACGGACCCGGATACCATCCGAGTCCATCTCCTTCACCCAAAAACCGGAGTTTTAGACTCGGCTTCTTGTATCTGGGTCTGCAACGACCCAAAACCCAAAAACTTCAAAAAAAATTAAAAAACCATGACATACCTTAATCAAACTGAAGCAAAAATTGTTTTACGAGCTCAGATGATTCAAACTAAGCACATTAATCGGAAAATAACCAATCAAATCAGCTTCAAAACACCTCATCGGTAGTTCGTAAGCTCTGTCGGCCAAAAAAACTTGAAATTTCTCTCTATCCTTCTCTAGATTACAAAATAAAATGAGGGCAAATGTTGCGTGAACCATCACGCACATAGAAAACCAATTTTTAAGCAAAAATTTGGCCGAAATGATCAATGTGTGGCCTGCATAGTGTTCGGTCCACTGTTGGACAGAACCTGCAGGTCTAATACAAATCCAGTCCCCCCTACTTTTAATTCTTTCAATTTCTCCCTGAAATTTTTAATTAAGTCTCTACACCTTTTAATTTCTTCAAATTGACCCTCGGCATATTCAATTTTGAGCCCTAAATTCCCTAATTTACCAATTTGGCCCCAATTAACTCCTCCTGAAGAATAAATTGACCCCCAAACTTTGAATTAATACACTTGGGCCCTTAAACCCAAATTAATTAACATAATTGGGTCATAACATATAATGGCTTGAACTAATGTATTTAATATTTTTGGAGACGCTTAAAGTGTTAATGTCATGATTCTTAGAACTTGAATAACTTTGATTATTGATTTTATTATTTACAACTGGAATGGTTTTGAATAGTAATTTTATTGTATTTCGAGTTTTTATATAGAAAAATTTAAGTTTTTAATGTTACATGTTATTAGTAAGCCAAGAGTTTTGCTAGGTAATATTCCTAACTAAAATTAGCTTATTTTATATGTTAACTAGGAAAATAGCAAGTGAATGACCTCACCTATTCTTTATCTAAAGATTTACCTAGGAAAGCACTTAGTTAAATTGGATAGGGATTTAGTTAGAGACATCCTAAGCTAAATTTTACTATTAGCTAAATTTAGTTACGAATGACAGATATTCTTAACTAAAATTTAACTATATCTCTTTTAGCTATGGAATTTTATTAGGAACGTTCCCTAACAAAAGTCAGTTTTGCTAGTAATTTTTACAATTTAGTCATGAATTTGTCCCAGATTATATGATTATTTATCTCTAATAAATGTCCCAAGAACAAGATGCAGAAGTTTAATTTGAATATAAAGAACAAAATATATATCTTCGGAGCTTTCTGACTGATAGAGGGAATCAGCAAATCCAAATATTCGACTGCAAGGCTTGAACATTCACCTGCAAAGAACACCAGCAACCAATCCAAGCACCTGCAGACCTGATGCTCCTCCTGTTTAAAACCATGCCGTCCAACTCAACCAAGGCCACACCAACATCAGTTCAAGACCATGCACAGCAAGCCAATTCATAAAATGGCTCAAGACCAACCCAAAATTGCTGTCAAGAGCCGTCCAGCATACTAGACTTGTTCAGCCAACACTCACAAGCCCTCGTGTCATAGCCACTCAGCTGCAGCTCCACTGCCTAAGCCTAGGCCCAAACACTTCAGCACAACGTCGGCCCAAGTGTCAAGTCCAAGACCTGTAGGTTTCCTAAAGCTCAAGCATCCAACGCTCCACCAGACCAAAAGCCTTGATAGAATGGCTTAAAATTTAAACCTACGGAAAATTTCCAGCTTACTACAGTTTCGAAAAAAAGAAAAAAAATGAAAAAAAAAAATCATATATAGAGCTATAAAATACGAATTGGGATGATTTAAGAAAATTTAGAAAGTTAAGAAAAAGTTTTTATCCCAAATTAACATTAGTATATATACGGTAGATTGATTAAAGTATTACTTCCAATTCATTCAAATAATTGTATCCAATTTATTTCCTTTTTAAAAAAAAAGATTTATGCATCACCTTCTAAATATATATTTACGTACCTTCTATGAAAAAGGTATTAGTTATATGTGCTTATGTACGATACACCAAATTGTCTATTTTTCTCATTTCTCACATTAAAAAATTAATTATTAATAAAATTAAATACACTAAAGTTTCTTGCCTTCTTTAACCGTCAGAAAAATCTTTTTAAAAAAAAATTAAAGCCCATCGGCATTAGTCGGTCAAAATATAATCCAGAATTATTATGCCGTTCTACCATAATGGCCCTGTCATGGCCCTTTGCCTGTTCTGCACTTCCCATCAGGACCACATCATGGTATTATCCATTTACCTTCTCAGGCTCATCACAGGCCTGCTCAACGGTCAACCCAACAATGTATCCCACTCTCTCCGGCGGTTCCACCTCCGACGAACCGTACCAGTCTTATCATCTCCGTATCTCCTACAACCACGGGCACAGACCAACGTGAATTTTGTCTGAGTTTATGACCAACGTGAAACACAGAGAGAAAACTTGCAGTGGGGAGAGATGTAGGCTGAACTTCGCGAGGCAACCAGGAGAGAGAAAGAGAGGTACTAGGCATGAGAAGGGAACACCGTGGCAAAATAGGGAAGGGCAACCTCAGCACGGTGCGTCCGAATATTGGGCTGGGTTTTTATAGATTGTACCCCATTACTTTTGACTTTGCTTTTCCTTTCGGAATATAATTTGATTTTAATATGATCAAAAATATCTTAATTAAATCAAGCCAATTAGTTTCAATTAATTTTTCTCCATTTATTTAAATCGCATAGTGCGTGTTCTATGTGAGAACTAAGAATTGTTTATTTCTACAATGTGTAGCAAATAAAAATAAATCTGGTAATAAGAAAATTGAGTACAATATTCATTCTTCTTAAATGAAAATTTAAATATTATTAATTTGGGTAAATTTTTTCTTTAATTTCTCTATTTACTAAACATTTGTAATTTGCTCCCTTGCATTACTTGAACGAATGTTTACCATGTTTATCAGTGATAATAATATTCAAACATTTGTAATGAGGTTTGCAGTGACAATAAACATCCAAATAAAAGTCTAATTGAGGCCTAAAGTCAAGTAAAATCAAGTGGAATGTAACCTATTGTACATATTAAACATGTTATAGAACCCATCCAACTTACTTCTCCATGCCCAACACCCAAATGAAGAAAGAAAGGAGAGAAAGAAAGAAATGTAACGTGCTTTTGAGTGAAATAAAATAAGAGATAAAATGCAAAACGCCAGGTTTTTTGGAAGATTGGGCTTAAGCTGCTGTTGAGTTTTGATAAGTCTGAAGACTGAAGACTGAACACTTTCTTTTCCTTTTTGTTTTCATATGTGGTGGACTGCATAAACTTCTCCTCTTCCTTTCCTTCTCCTTTTTGTTTTAAGAGGTCTAGCTGTTAAGGTCCAAATGAATCAATACGTTTTGGCCATCATTTTTAATGGGGATGTTTCATTTTAACTGTGAGCTATATCAGATTTTTATGGGTTCATGCTTCAACTTGTTAAGGAGGAAATGTCGAACTCCTTGATTCAATAGCTTGTACTGATTTTGCCAAACACGGTCATCTTCCCTTTGTTCAATCTTGCAAATTGAAGTATGGTTGTGCATTTTCACCAGCTTCCATATTCTTCTGTAAAGAGGTAATCTTTATATCTTCTCATTTGAATTGATCCCTTACGCGTCTTATGCTTAAATGCATGGAACTAGTGCCCTAGGTTTTCCTCCTCAACTCCTCCCATTTAGCACTGTTAAAATTGTTCCTTTCACAGAGAAAGGCTGTAATAGGTTGTCAATAAAATGGATAGAGGCAGATGGTTAGAAATCTCAGTTGAATGTTCAAGAAACTTTGGTAGCCTAGTTTCGCTTATGAAAGGCTTTTGAGGAGCTTCACTTCCTCAACCTGTTAGTCTTGGATCTGTTAATTGGATTAGCCTGAAATGGACGTATACAAGCTGGATTGGGTCCAAGCTTAGAGCGTCCAATATGGGCAAGCAAAGCCCAGCAAGTCTCCCATCTGGAGTCACGTGGCGCCCATTGACATTTCATTCCTGGTTTTCTAACACAGTGCTCTCTGTTTTCTCAGGTTCTTCTGCTGCAACGTTCACTATCATAAACAGATGCGACTTCACGGTTTGGCCCGGCATACTTGCAAACGCCGGCGGGCCCAGCTCGACAGCACCGGCTTCGAGTTACCGCAGGGGAAATCCCGAACCTTCCAGGCTCCGGCAGGCTGGTCAGGAAGGTTCCGGGGCCGAACAGGATGCAAGTTCGACGGATCCGGTTCGGGCTCGTGTACCACTGGCGACTGCGGCTTCGGCAAGCTGGAGTGCAGTGGGATGGGGGCTGCTCCACCGGTGAGGCTGGCAGAGTTCACGTTGGGCAAAGGCGGCGGTTAGGACTTCTACGACGTGAGCCTAGTGGGTGGACACAATTTGCCGGTGAAGGTGGAGGCGAAAGGCGGATCAGGAGGGTGCGGTTCGGCGGGCTGTGTGGCGGACCTGAACTAGCAGTGCCCGTCAGAGCTGAAGGCGGCCAACGGCGAGGCCTGCAAGAGCGCGTGCGAGGCGTTTGGGAGCGAGGAATACTGCTGTAGCGGCTCGTACCGCACACCAGGCAAGTGCAAGCCGTTGGAGTACTCTCAGATATTCAAAGAGGCCTGTCCCACGTCTTATAGCTGGGCGTACGATGACCTTACGAGTACGTTACGTGTACTGGCGCTGATTACCCGATTACTTTTTGTCCCTCAAGAACGAGGTGAAGTTTGTGCAAGAAGAAATATAATTTTATTATTGCATTTTCATTCTCAATGGTAATAATTACCATGTTGGTGGAAAGGAAATTTTTTAGCCTCTTCTTCTGCATTTTACCATCGTGTCGATTTTTTTATTATATTTAACCGTCCTTTTTCTTTTAATTCAAGAGTTTGTATTTTGGTAATTAAAAAAAAAAAGAATTAGAGGAGGCAATTCTTTTTTTTTTTTTTTTACAATAGTACCAAAACTTAAATAAAAAAACAAAAATTAAATTATGAATTTTCGAGACAGACTCTCAACAAATTAAGGCATAATACTATTATGACTTGACTAAAGAGAAGTTTAGTCTTTCATACCAAACTCCTAAAATAAATTTATTTTAACTACACAACATATACAATTATTCATCTTTCTCTCAAAATATACTTAATCTTAACTTGACAATCTTATTAAACGAAAGACTTGATTTTGGATAAAAAAAGAGCACAAATATTATCACTTAATCATCTTCCTTGATAAATTTCTATAAAAAATCTTGGAGTTCATCACCAAATAACTCTTCTTAAACATCAAGTCCAAATCTTCTTCAAACCCGCTTAGTGTTTTCAAATCTCGGCTGAAATTTCATCTACACTACTGACACTACTGATGAATTTGAAGAAATCTCTGACCCACATCCTATCATGATCTCGAGGGACACCTACACTCCTAGCCATACAATTAGGATTGGTAATTCATTAGTAAGGAGAAATGTCAAATGCAAGATGGAATGAAGAAAAGGACCTTGAAACCCTCCCCAGCGACCCAATGAGTACCGAGCTACTCTTTGCTTACGAAGATAGTAAGAGCAGTTTGGTATAAATAAATTGTTAGGGGAATGATTTTACTTTTTGATTCAAAAATAATTATTATATTTGAAAATGCTGATAAGTATTAAATTGTTTCTACCCTAGATTAGTTATCATAAAAACTAATATTCGCCCGAGGTCTTAGCCCGGAGAGAGCAGTTGTGATTGTCTCTCTTTTTTGGACCACATTAGTGTCCTCTTATTGTAAAACCAGAATTGGGCCTGGCCTTCAACTGTATAGGCCCATGTTACTTGCACATTTTCTTCATTCCGAGTGTGGGCTTTGCACCGTGTATGTGCTGGGTACTGTGTGGACAGCTCCAAGTTTGGCTGGTTAACATAATGTGTTTTGTATTGGGTTAATTTTAAAATTCCTTGAATAAACAAGCTGAGCTTCATGGACTGAACTACAAGTTATTGGAAGGGGACCAAAAGCTAAGTATATAATAAATTTACGAATATAATATAATAAATAAATTAACTACCCTTTTCTTTGCATAGATATTCAATAAAAATGATTTCGACAGTTAATTAGTAAACCCTTTTCAAACCCTTATTTAAATCGGTATGATGTATTGATTATTTTAACAAAATAAATTAATTTTTGCATAGATAAATTGGTTCTCAGCATTTAATCTAAAGAGCAATGCGTGGAGCTGGAGATGGTTTCTTTCTTCTTACGCCACTAGTGAGAGTCTGAATGCCTGCCTCATCCTTCCACTTTATTATACAATTTTTTTGACTCCCAACTAAATAATAGTACATAGAGAGACAGAGAGGAACCTAGTGGTTGTTGGGATTTGCTTGGCGTACAAATTATAAATAATTTGAGCTGTCATTCCACACTTGGCGGCCGTTAAGGTAAGACCGTGTTCAAGTCGTCGTGTTTCTTTTCTGTTTAGTTAACTAATACTTTTCTTCTTTAAAATTAATTTAATAATAATTGTATTACTTTTGTTAAACTAATAAATAACACCGAGCTCAAGACGTCATCTCCTTTTTTGTTTAGTTAAATAATACTTTGCTTCTTTTAAATTTATTTAAATAATAATAAGTAGTATTCTTTTTGTTAAACTAATGGACAACACCGAGAGTTCAGGGACGTCGTCTTTCTTTTTCGTTCAGTTAAATGATATTTTTTTCTTTTTAAGTTTATTTAAATAATAATTAATATTATTTTTATTTTTATAAGTTTGTTTAAATAATAATTAATAATTTTCATTCTTAAATTATTTTTAACTAAATTAATTAATAATTTTTATATACTTGTTGTCAGAGAATTTGTCTTACGCTGGTTGACCAAGGAGGATAGAGATGAGCTGGCCAGGAAACTTACCATCACGGGTCACCCATCCCTCGTCGTTTTCCCTCTCTTCCAATCGTGAAATATACGAAGGATCTAGAATTTAATTTACGGAGAATAAGAGTATAAATTTTAACCATAAGAGGACAAGAAGACAATTATTTTCATAAAAATTTATTTTATGCAATAACTATATTATAACGTATATCTGTGAGTATAAGTATACAGCAGATTTGAATTAGTAAAAAAAAGCGTGGCTTAAATTTAATTTCTCATGTGGACTACAGGTTTTAGTTGGAGAGACGTTTGACCTTTCCAGGATATTATAATTTTTATCTTATTTTTTTTCATACATATTGTATTATTAAAACATAAATTACAACATAAAATTCAAATATCTGTTCGAATCAAGAATATACTAAATAAGGCTACAGGGGCAAATATAAATGTACAGAGCAAGAAATAACGTCTCTCCGTGGGTTTTTATAGAAGCATAATTAATTGAATTAGTTTAATTAATAAGATAATTGAAGCCCTCAAATTCGTCTCTACCAAGCCCTAAGTAATGGAAGTTGTCCTCATCTAATTTATAGGCACCCCTATGCATGGACTACTTCGAATTTAATTAGTCAAAAAATAATATATAGATTAATATATAGTAATACAAGAATTTGAAATGATTTAGCTCTCGTAAATTGGAAAAAAAAAAAACTCTCTCTTCCCTTTTTCTTTCTGATGAAACAGAAATTCCTTTTTTGTTTTATTAATAAAATTATTTTTTATTCAATTGGTAGACTTTTTCTTTTTTTTTTGAAGAATTAAAGTTATAAAAGGGCCTTTAAATATCTTAGTTATATGATTATATGGATTTTTAATTCAACTTTAAAGTCTTAATTTCAAATTTAGCAGAAGTAATAGCAGGGAGGCAAACGGGGAGCAGGTGAGAAATAAGAATTGACCACTGCCTTGGTCAAAGGCGGAAGTGAAAATAACAAAACGAGCGTGCGTCAGTAAGATGCGGCTGAAGACGGCGAGGAGAGAGATCACAAGATGATTAGGGGAGCTTGGTCAAAAATGGCAGTAAACTGTTCTAGAAGACGACATGCTTCGTTTGTCTTTTTTCAAAATCTGATTTTTTTTACAAGATTAAAAAGCACTTTTTTTACGTAAAAAAGAGCTTTTTTTTTTTTTTTTTGTAAAAAACTTATGCAAACAGAGCCTTAAGCATTGTGGAGCCACGTGTCATAATCTTACTGCTCTCTAAATTCACAAGCGGAACCGACCTTAATCATTTGGGCGCCACGTGTCAGAATCTTACTGCTCTAAAAATCATAAGCTGGACCGACCACGATGTTCATAGCGTCTTATTCCAGTCACCTTCCTCATTGGCTCTGAGGCTTGCTCATTTCATCCGGCACCATGACTCAATTTCGTCCGGCACTTCTCCGCCCCTTCTCCTCCTCTGGCTTATGTTTCTGAAACGTAAGCTACATAAAATCGTAGTCCCTCTTCGCTTTTAAGTCTGGGGTTGTTCTTCTATTTAGACCATTTCGTAAGCTATTAATCCTTTGTTTTTCACTTGACAGGTCACATGGCTACTTAAATAACTTTTGTTAACCACTGTGACCACATGGTGTGGGCCAAACGATCATCACCGACGAAAGGTTTGCCCCAGCCTCCAAACCACCGGATTCGAGCTTAACCCAAACTTCTCCCGTTCATTCTACCTTCCCACCGGCTGGCGTGGTCGCATTTGGGCTCGCACAGGGTGCAGCTT